ACCTCTACATATCCAACATTTTGCATTTCCATTCACTAGCCTCATTTCCTGTCCATGCTTACAGAATCAACTTGCAGAAAAGCTCAATTATACTACTCTCAATAACACTATTGTGATTTGTTTGCAAACAGGAATACTAAATACACATTAGTACAGTTTTAATTTGGCCTCTGCTTTCTTTCCTGCCATTACGTGGAGCCCTTTTTGTATTTTGCATGTGAAACAATATGTTCATTATCCCAGAGGGTGGCAACCGACTGCTGCGCTCTCCCAGTAGCTCGTACGCATCTTCCACTGCTACTGCTTAATTAGTTGAGAGTGCGCCTGGAGACCCGCTCTGCACTTGACCTTTCTGAAGGTAAGGCAAGCAGCGCATGTTCATCAGACCGCAGGAAACGAGCAGAGGAGAAAGGTTTTCATATTTCGATATACCGATAGTCTTACATGTGTGGCTTTGGTTTGCAGAGGATGCATGGCTCCTTTAAGTCAATCTTTTAGTGGTACATTGAACCCGTCAGTTGTATTACATGAAGCATGACACAGTGTTCCACATCCTGAGAAAATGCATGCACCGGCAGAGGAAGTAAATCCAATTTTTTGGGTACATCTTTTAATTTAGACGAACAGCTTGAAGTATGATACTCGGCAATAGAACATGTTCCATGGAATACCTTGGGGAATAATGACATATTCTAAAGGTGCATTGATGCAGTTAGAGGTTAGCTTAATGAGATTTTCTTTGGAGGGGTTTCTGGCTGCCAAGTTTCAAATCATCTAAAGGGAAGTCGACTCTTCTCATTGTCCATTGGAGAAAAGGAACATCCTCATTATCGTCCATAGCTTTTGGCTCATTGCAGGGGCCAAGGAGATATATCCATATAAATACTTTTTACTCTCCTCCAAAAGGAAGAAGTCTTCTTAGAGAAAGTGAACATTGCAGCTTGAATTACATCTGGAAATTCAGCTGACATCAATACACAAGAAGCAGCAAACTTGGTACATTATGTACAAGAAGCCAATAAATATTGTAAGATATTCTCAGCCTTTTTCAGTGCTGTAGTGAAAATATTTTTATGCCTCAATTTTGAACCGGCCCATAGTTTCTGTGCTTTCTGGGACATTCACAGCAGTTTTTATATTAGATGTCGTCTCCACAATATAGAGATTACCGACACAAACTTGTAAAGTGTATGAAGTTTCAGGGTTGGAGCCTCAGTAGAATCTCAATTGGTTTTCAAGGCAGGAGTTATAAAAGAAAGCTTTAGAGTTCTTGAGAGGAAAACACATATATTAATGCTGCCTCATTATTTCTCGTCATTTAATAGGAGAGAAAATAAGTGTTCCACAAGGTAATGGATTTTATTGTGTGTTGTTTCTGATGAGTGGCAGAGATGTATTTTACCTCAGAGTCTTGCAAAGTTCATGACATTTACAACAGCATCTTTGGTATTTACTTTGAAGGTTAGAATGGTCAGGCAGCTTTTAGTTACCTTGAGCAAACTTTTGTCCTTTCATAATTAGGAGTTAATACATTATGTGTGTCCTTGCTTGTGTAGGATGCATTGAATGCTGCAAGAAAGCATAACTAATAAATGAGCGCAAACATTTGGGGGAAAATATTTGCAGACCTTTACCACTTTCCTCTCTGCAACATGTCTTGCAGCCATGAATATTCCCCAAAAGGTTCACCTTATATTCCATATGCAGGACTGATAACACATCAAAGTATGTATTGGGTATCATAAGGTAGCAGCCATGTGGGAGTTTCTTTTTTCAGTGCCATGCCATCAAGCCCAGAGCATTCTTTGGGATGAGTTATAATTATCTGAGCTGAGATAAAGTTGAGCTTATTGCTAAAATGCGGAGTCTGCTGATGGCTCACTAAGTAGCAGGCAGCTGCAGAACGCATTGGCAGGTTCATCAAAAATGTGTGGAGAAAATCGCAAAGGACAGTTTAAATACTGCTGATGGCTAATGTAATGTAATGTAGAGGAAGAGAACAGTTGGAATGCAAGGGAATATCTAATACTCTTAATAAGGAAGGTCACATTGTCACATTAGTCTAAGTGAGACCAGATATTGGCTGCTCAATTCACAGCCCTGCAGTGTCACATTTTTTCTTGCCTTAAATAATTGTGTCTCACAGCTGCAAGCGCGCGACAACGGCCCAAAACACTTCCATTAGGAGAAACGCACTGCTGCTCCAGAATCAATCCAAAAATAAAAACACATGCCAAAACACATGCAAATTAGGAAAGATCTTCACCAACTTCACAACACATGTGCTGCATTTCAAAAATATATTTAGCAACTTAAAGAAACATGCGCAGCGCTTACTAAACAGAACGCTGCAAACACAAAATGCTGCAATTTAAAAAATGCAGAAGAAGCAGAAAGAAGCTCAAAACAAGGGGAAACGGAAACGGGGACACTAAAAAGAGACACACACAGCTGGGATCAGAGTGCTTGTTGACATCCAGGGATTATAATGTTATGTCAGTACATTTGAAATGAATAGGTTAACTACGTTAGCTTGCTCGCTTACAGCAGATCTATAATAATATCGGAAAGATTCATGTGATTATATTTTAAATAAGCAAATAAAACGTATATTTTAGGTACTTTTCCAGTGACAGTCTGCCTACTTTATAATCCCCGGACGTCAACAAGCGCTCCGGTCCCAGCTCTGTGCATCACTTTTTATGCTGCGTTCACACCGGACGCGATGCAAATATTCGCTTCGCTCTAATCGCTCTTATCGCTCTTATCGCTCTTATCGCATCGCTCTAAACGCTCGAGTTTCACCTCAGCTGTCAGCTGTGTTTACTCGCATCATTCAAACAAGACGAAAGTTCTGGGACTTAGTCTGGGTTATGTAGGTAAGTCTTGTGCTCGGATATATTTTTCACATATAGTCGACTGTAGTAAGTCAGACGTGCTCGTGAACTAGTTTTGTTTAATTATAGTATCCAAAATATTTGTTCCTTTTTATAGTCATACATGGCAATGGGTTAGCGTGTGTAGTTAAATCTGTGTACACATAATTGTTTAATTTAGTGTGTGTCCTATTGTTATTTACAAGTTAAAACAAGCACAAGCATTCGAGTGGGGC